GCTGCCAAGGGCTTGCAAAGGCAAAGAAAGGAAGAGGAGAACACCAGAAGAGGAGCCTGCAGGCTGGGCTGTACCCCGGTAAGAAGAGACTTGGGATGTGCTTTAAGCCTGTGAAGCACTTTGCAGGAAGTCGTCCTGCCAGAGCTGAACCAGAAGCACCTGCCAGAGTGAGCCACACCACAGGGCAGTGGGATCGACGGGGTTTAACAGCAGGCCAGGGGCACTGTAAGAACTGGGAATGACAGCATCTCACAGCTGACCTGGAGGACACGTCTTTGTGCCACACTAACAACCCACCACATCGAGACAAGGACCAAAGGCCGCATCTGCTTCAGGTACAGGACCGAGGAAGCTCTGGAACACAGGCTCCTATTTACAACTGCCCCAGAACAACTGAGCAGGGCACAAACTGCCCCTGTCTCTGACAGCCTTCACCTCCCACCCAGCCCCTGCCATGGGGCTCTAGCACCCACACACATCCCCAGGGCTGGTACCAAGCACAAGTGCCTGTCAGCAGCTCCCAGAAGAGGGAGAACCAGTCTGATCCTCTCCCAGCACAGGACACCTCTCGGGGCTGGATGGTCACTGTCCTGCCATGCAGCCTGTCAGCCACAACCAGCCACCACCGAGAAACAGCATCGATCTCTGCCCATCCACCCAGGCAGGGTCCTCGCAGCCCAACAACTCCTGAATTCCTGCATTTGGGGGAATCCCAGGCAGTGAAAAAATCCTTATCTGACAGCTTTCAGCCTGGCAAAACTAATCATCACAAAGTACAGCGTGCTTCCTCTGCCTGATGAGCGAGCACGAAGTACAGCAAGTCTTGCTGGCTTTAGGCTTCTTCTCAAACCCGTGTACTACACAGTCCCTAGAAATCTAGGGCACCCTCTGAAGGGGATCTACACCATTGCTCAGTGCTTTCAACCTAAGAATATTTTGCTCTTGAATAAGACCTGGCCAAGTAAAATTCAGGACAATGAATCAAGCTGTTCACATGAAGCACCCAAAGCACACACTCCCCTCCAGTCCCAGCCCACACAAGCTCACCCTCACCCACCTACCCTCAGCTCCTGCTCTACCTGCACCTCACTCTGCAGGACAGAGGGTAGTAATGTTGACTGACTGTTCTTTAAAGCCACCAAGGGACCAAGCAACAACCAGAGAAGCCAACAATTTGTCCCACCACAACCTAACTTGAAGGGAAGTTGTGGTATGGGGGGGACAGGTACACCCCATCCTGGCCTACACCGGAGCCCACCCTTGCATCAGCCACTACCACAGCTCGGGACATGCTCTCTGGCCTCCAGGCTGGCTCTGAGCACCCTGATAGTAGTCTCCAGCCCCAGGTGATCAGGGCTGGTCCTGGGTCCCCAGAGTGACAGAGGATGGGAGCAAACTGCGGTCAGAAGTACCGTTGACTGCGGGCCGGTGCAACAGCTCACAGCCTTAAAACAAGCATTACTGCTTGTGGACAGGGACCCAAGGATCCACCCCTGAGGGAGCAGAGTGACTGAAATAATTAGCGTGACCCTTCCTAGACCTCAGCTCCTCAACATGGAATGCCTGGCCAGGTCTGCTGGGGCTCACTCCAGGTTTGGCCTGCTCCTTTCTCCACCCAGCCCCCGGGGCAGCTTTACCAGCCATCATCCTCACAACCCAGAGAGCTCCAGGACATGTGTCTCCTGGTCAGTTAATCTGCATTTCCAGCACTCCTGAGTCAACAGTCCAGCTCCCAGTAACCAGCCTGCACAAGCCCAGCAATCCAGTCAGACCAGAAGCCTCCAAAAACCTCCCAGGGCAGAAGTTGCATCACCCACCCATCCATCCATCTACCACCCAGTGTGAAGTTCCATCAGGAGGAGCAGGGAAAGGGCCTGCCACAGCCCAGCCTTCGATAACATCGCTTGCAACATCACTGTGCAACCACGGAGCCACCCGCTCCACACAGTGCGAGTCAGTAACAAACCCTCAGCTGAGACCTCCCCGTAAAGAGAGGCCATTTCACATGGGCAGGGTGCCACCTCCTACCTGGTAAGAGCTGGCAACCAAACATTGGGCTGGAAGCCCCCACTCCCCAGGGGCTGGTGATGGTAGCCCTGCCCCTCCCATGGGATCTAGACCCCCTACTCCAGCTGCAGGTTTGGTTACTAAGGAGTTACAGTTCTTGCTTTGTGCTTACAGGGCACAGAGTTATTGCCCCACGCCCCACGCTTTCCAAGCTACTACCCTTCAAAATTCCTTGTGGGAATGCTCGCTCCTTCCCCCCTTAGACCCAGCAGAGAGGGGACAGCCCTGACACAGAAGACAGAGTGAGAACAGGCTGGGGCAGTTCAGTGTGTCTGGACTACCCTCGCTGCTAGTGCCATTTGTGTGGAAAATGGAGCGACACAAACCTGAGGAAACCACGGGAGGTGTCCCATTTCATCAAAACTCTGCTCATGAAGGGCTCTTCGGGCACTGCAGCAGATGAACCAATCCAGAAAGGAAAAAATATTTGACAAGCCACCACGAGGCAGCACGTCCAGTTATGAGAGGCTGATCAGTGTTTATGATACCAGAGCAACCAGTGACACTCAGAGCAGCGGTGAGGCACGCCAAGTGTTTGCAGCCTGCTGCCAGCTGCTGTGCTCAGTGTAAAGCTCCATGCCACACTCCCAGGAGGATCCCCTCACCCTCAGCCCCTGCCCGGGGAGGGGAGGATTCTGTAAAACACGGATTTCCTGGCTGGGATGGCCACAGCCCTGCTGTGGTGCGTTCTCATTCCTGAAGCAAGGGACCATATATCCCCCTCACAGGCACAGGCAGCACCTCCCACCCAACCAGTCCTGTCCAACTGGAAACCAGCCAGAGCTCACTTGGTATTTATTAGCTTTCACACCCTGCTGGTGACCTAGTGACTATCAGATGTGGTGACTTCCCACTGTAAGCCAACGTTTGGCCACCAACGCCCGTGAACACTACAGAGCGGGTAGGTGTGAGGAGTGTCTTCAGCCAGGCTTAAGCAGGCACAGCTCGAGGACTTCCTGCTACAAACCCCAGCCTCCCGTCCGACCCTACAGAGCACGCTGTGTGCCGCAGCACCATTTGTGGAGCTGCAATTCACATCTGTGAGCCAGTAAGACACCCAAAGGGGAAAAAAAATGCAGCACGTTAATGAAGTCTGTGTATTCCACCGAGGGTGATGAGGGTTACACTGGTTTGAAGGCAACACTGAAACAGTTACTCTAAAGCAGCAAGTGGTCACTAGAAGCCCATTTCTCAAAAGCACCAGCCAATCCATTCAATTTATACAAGAATTGTTTTCCTTAAAAAAGGTGACATCATGCTCAAGCAAGAGGCAAGAGAAATACAAAAGGAGCTTTATGGCTCTACACAAGATATGCAGATGAGAACAACATACTCCCAGCTACACCCAGACATTGAAAGGGCAGCCCCTCAGAGCACAGCAGTGTCTGGCACGTCGGGTCAAACAGAGGGAGCTTTGTTTAGGAGCAAGTGCAGCATAACTGGGGGGCTGCTGCTGCTGTCAAGCTTCAGTGTCTTTACAGCACTCGTTCCCAGGGATGCCCTGTGCACAGTAACTGGAAAAAGGTACTGGAATTCAGAGTGAGATGACAAGAGCGTGAATGTAGGGTGCAGATGCAGAAAAAGCCACCAAGCAGAGAGGCAAATCCAAAGTGGAGTTTGGAATCACTAGACTTATCTGTGTGAGACAGAAGGAGACACTAATTTTAAGAGAAGCTTAAGTGTTTGTGCACAGCAAACTCTGCTCAGGAAGCTTTTGGACACTAGTGGTAAGGCTCTTCCTCTGCGATGCAAGTACACGGCCTCTCCTCGGTTAGTGCTAAGGACTGTGCGGAGCAGCTGTTAGCAGAACCCACTGCAAATCTGAACAAAAAGCCGAGTAGCAAAGTTGCAGAAACGTACGAGTTCAGCTACTTCCACAGATCAGTTCATGATCCAGCTCATCTCAAGCCTGTTAGAGCAATTCCTAAGGAATCCACTCGAGCGCTATCCACAGCCTCTTCCAGGAGGAATCCCGAGACCATGGCTCAGTGGCTCCAGCAGTCAACTAAGCCATGTTACCTTATAAAGCCTTTCCCAGTGGGACTGGGAATTGCACTCAGAGTTCAAGTCAGGACCCTTTCAGGCCAGCACAGCACTTCATGTTACACATGCAGATCACAAGGACCTTAGAGTTAGAGTACAGCATGCTGCAGGGAAGCCTCCGCAATCCTTGAGGCAGAGATCTGTAGAAGTAACCTAGACACAGTGCCATTGATTCTCCAACTATGAAAATCACAGCAAACCAAGCAAGCTCTGGCGGTCTAGCCTGCTGAAGCGAGAGGCAAACACCAGCCAGCTCATATTTACATGGAAGTCATGTCATTCAGGGCGTGGTCCAGTTCCTCACTAATTGCTTTGTACTTCAGTTTCTGGGCATAGAGCTCATCTAGAAGAGGTTTAGGAGGAGAACAAAAGGGAAACAATGAGGGAAGGCAGAGGATTTCTTCCAACACCCTGGGGCAGGAAAAGCAGCATGGGATTCATGAACAGAAGAAAATGAAGTTAGATGTGGAGCCACCAGGACTCTGTATTAGTTCCCAACAATGAACGGGAGGGTTCCAACAGCCCGAGGACAGTCTGACCAGCAAGTGCCTTCCAGGATTACAAGCTAACTCTGAGGGGAGCAGAGCCAAGAACTCAAACCACATCAGCTTGTGAGAACAAGCTGCCCAGCTAGGTCAGCAAGAACCACTGACAGGAGGCATAGCAGGGAAGGGCAACTCCATCCACTTAGGGAGAAGCTTGCTACACCTGAGGAAGGCACAGATTAATTGAAGTGCTTTGTTCTCACCTTGTCTCAATACAACAAAAAACAGCTTGGGAGAAGTCAGTCACGTAATAGTCCTGGGCACCAGAGGGAATTCCCATTCTGTAGCACACAGCTGGGCAGGGTGAGCAGAACAGACAGGCCACACCTGTGTTCTCCATCAGATAATGGAGCAGACAGGCAGATCACCCACCTTCGGGGGAGGAGGCAGGCCTGAAACTCGCACTGATGTGCTCCTTGAGTGGTGCACAGAGCTGGCCCCGACCTCTCCCAGCTCTGGCTGCCTAGGCTACAGTACAGCTGGTAATGTTGTTAATGGCTTCACAGAGCCCAGAGAACTTTGTCAGTTGTCATAAACTAGGTCACTTCAGCAGCAAGGCAGGAGACCAGAGCCAACTCTCAATCAACGTGTTTCAAGGGAAGCATGCAGGGATTTGGAGGAGTTTTTGCAGTTCCCAATAAGAGCTCGCCCTGGATCATGAGATGGCTCAAATTGCTGCTTGGCTGCAGTTCTGGAACAACTTAGCTGACACCATTGCTATTTGCAGATAAAAAAAACTCCTGAGTGACTCCAGACAGTAGGATGCAGCTTTGAATCTCTCCAAGACCTGGCACTAAAAGGCATGCTGTGGCCAAAGCAGGAGGCCTGTAAGAGTTTTGGTTTACCAGCACCACCACCCCAGCCACAGCTATCCATGAAAAAAATCCAGCCACAGCCCCAGATTTAAGGAAGGCAGTTGGGACCTTCTCCTTCCACAGCTTAGGGAAAGTAGGGCTCTCTGACAGCTGGCCTCAGGAGTGCTCCTGAAGTACTGTGAAACCAGAAGAGGAGGAGGAAAGGAACCCATCCCTTGGCAAAGGCTGACCACCATGCTGCACGGATGGGGCTTCTGGTGATTTCATCTTGAACCAGGACTGACACTGGGGAACCCGAGTCTTCATGGGGGCCTCTTTCAGGACTCATTGACTACATGGTTGACTTGCAGCAACACTGACTGCAGCAGCCAGCCACACACATGAGTCTCTGCACACAAGTATGTTACTGTAACCAACTCCTGTTGAGTTCAGGCATTTTGCTTCCTATGCTGCTCCTTAAATTGGGTTAAGCTGGAGCACAGGAATCCAGTTACATTCCTGAGGACATCACAAACAAGATACACCAGCCACACTATCACTATTAGCCAGATACGGCAAGGTGTTTGCATCAAGAGCTTGATATCTGCCGCAGCGCAGCCAGGGAACTGTTTTCAGAGTAGATACCCAGGGCACAACTCAAGCCCAGAGGCACTAAGCCTCACCTTGGAGGCAGACTTAGGTCATGCTCCAAGTATTGAAGAGCAGAGCAGTGTCTCCACTCTCCAGCTTATCCAGGAGACAGCCTTCCTCAGCTCCCCACTCCTTACCACATACTCTTTGGCTTCCCATCCCCAAAATGTACCTTCCAAATCATCAATGGTCTTCTCCAGCTTGGCTACAGACCGTTCAGCGAATTCAGCCCGGGTCTCTGCCTGCCAGACAGAAGTGAGGCAGTTAGTACTCTGAACTCTGGGACACAAAGGACCACAGAGGTGCCCGCCCAAGGATGTGAAGTCTCCCACCCTCAACATTTTTCCCCATTCAAGCTGAGGGCAGGTCACCCAGCTGGGCTATCCCAACACAATCACTCACCTCTTTGAGTTTATCAGTCAGGATCTTGATCTCTTCTTCATATTTATCCTCTTTTTGAGAGTACTGTGGGAAAGTATAGGAGTCAGCAGTCAGCCACCCTCAGCAGCCCCAGATACCTCCCACTCCAGAGAGCCCACAGCTACAGAGGGAGACTTAAACTCCTCACTCCAGAGCACATGCCCACAGAAACTTCCAACTGGGAGTTGTTCACATCCCTACCCTAATCCAACAGAACTGGGTCACACAGCAAGTCTCACATCATGCATGTCACAAACTCAGGCGCAGAAAAATTCTCATCCCAGCAGCATAAACATCTTGGCTTATCGAGTCTGCCCCAAGGCAGGGAAGGGCAGCCAGACTTCCCGCACTCCCAGCTTCTACAGCCAACATCAGCCCTGCACTGAAATCCGTTAGCTCTCCCGGGACAGCAAGCACAGCTCTCTCCTCGCCTGCTTAAGGCTGCGGTTGCATCATTTCCATCTCAGTGGGTGCTCTGCTGTCACACACCCTCCTAGCGAAACAGAAATGTTTCTGGCCCTTGGACAAGCAGCCCTACCTTCTCAGCCTGAGCCTCAAGAGACTTGAGATTGTTGGTGACATTCTTCAGCTCTTCTTCCAGCTCGGAACATTTACTGTGGGGTTTTGTAAAGAAAAAAGGGGAAGAAAAAGGAAAAGAAGTGGGAAGGAAAGACAGGAGAGACAAGAAGTAAATCCATGTGCAGGGAAGACCAGGGAGTTCTTTAGGAGACTGTCTGCAATCAGACTGGATGGGACCCTGCTTTGAGGCACTTGTGCAGAAAGCAAGTTCCCTTCCCACCTCCAAGTTTACAGTTTCAGTATTCTGCCAGCACACGCGCAGGGCACTGAGCTGAGCAGCTGAGATGTGGACACAGATTTCTGCCGGACCTGGAGTCTTCAAGTAGACACTGCATGTTTAGTCGGCTGAAAGGAGGAAAGCTGTTCTGACAGACAGATGGACAGCCACCACCACTCAGACAGGAATATTTATGGGCAGAGAGGACAGAACATTCCAGGAAAGAGAAAGATGCAGTTAAGCTGAGGGAAGGAGCGTGGCAAGACCACCACAGGAGTTCTGGTTTAATGGTTTGAGAAGGGAAAGGTTAGTACCTTTTCTTCGGCAATAGACAGACACTTCAAGTTCTGGTCCATCATTCTGATCTGCTCCCGCAGCTCCCGGCAACGACTGTTAGTGACGGTCACACGATGGCACAAGCCAGGTGGGGGCAAGGGTCAAAAGGAGCACCAATAACACAATACCGCAGAGCAAAAAAGGGGGTAGGGGAAAAACACAAAAAAGTCATGGTCACGACATGCATGTCTGGGCAGGAAGCACAGTGCTACTGCTGCACACACACTAACTTTGTTAGACAAGGCCCAGAGCACAGAAAGGCCCTGACCAGCTCCTCAGGGATTGGTTAAAGGATCATGAAAGGAGCCCAAATGCCACAATTTGCGTGTCTGCTCCAAGTAGAGGAAGTCCAGCTTGCTGCTCAGCAGTGCAGAAGCCCACAGTGGTTACTGCAAATATTTTAAGAGGCCAGAGATCAACCTCAGCCACAGTTCTGCCCTTGGACATCCCACGTGCCACTTCAGCTCCCGGCCTGGGAGGCCTCTGCCGCTTTAGGACAACCACTGTGCACTTTTGTGCCCTGTAGCAACGTGTGAGGATCTCGTGACCACACATACAAAGCAGTGCTGGTGAACACTGAGCAAAGGATTCTCTGGCCTCACTAACTCGGGAGTCCCTTCATGCAGAGGGGCAGAACATCTCCGCTACAAGGCAAGCCGCATCGTCGCCAACTCCACATCCTCATTGGACCTAAGCCTGTTCCGAGCAGGAAAGTGCTTCCAACTCTTTCATCTGAGGATCTAAACCCACCCTGTGCTTCAGGCCTTGTGTAACAAGGTTAGAAATGCTGTGTTAGTTCCCATGCAAAGGTAGCCGTGCCAGTTACATGCGAGCAGATTACTCACGACTCTGCAAGCTCAGCTCTCTCCTCAGTGCGCTCCAGATCTCCTTCTATGATCACCAGTTTCCGAGCAACCTGGAAGGGAGAAGAGTTAAGAGGAAAGAAGATGATTTTGTACTTGTAGGCTGTGCAAGGCAGTAAAGGGAACGTCTTGCAGGAGTCACTGGAGCTGCCAGAGTCTTTTGGCGAAGGGAAACACTGATGTAGCTCTGCTGAGAGCCAGGCTCTCCCCCCAGGTTTGCTGAGGAAGCCCTGCCAGCAGGAAGAGGAGCCACCTCTCCTGGCCAGGGCCAGCTGTGCTGGAACATCCAAGTGTCTCACCTCCTCATACTTCCTGTCCGCCTCCTCTGCGATGTGCTTGGCTTCCTTGAGCTGGATCTCCTGCAGTTCCATCTTCTCCTCATCCTTCAGAGCTCTGTTTTCAATGACTTTCATGCCTCTGCCCAAAAGAAAGCACAGGGAGGTGAGATGTATAAAACAATCCCGTATGAGCCAGCAGTGTAATGACTTTCAGAGCATTAACTGTGCTCCCCCGGGACCATGTTGCTTCCTTAGGAGCCACGACACCTCCGAGCGCTGAGGGTTGCACAGGAAGGCAGACACCACCGGGCTGATGCAAATACAGCAACCTCAATTGCTCAGAATTAACTGTTCCTTGGGGCGTTACTCCAGCAGCTCATTGGGCTCCTGGACCACGGGAAACATGGTGCTGCTGAGAAGAACAAGCCAGACTGTCACAGGGACTCCACAGGGCTGAGCCAAGCCCTTCCCAGGCTGGAATACAGGAAGAGCCAAGTCTATCTTTATGGCAGGACATCAGCTGGGTCAGGCTGCTCACTCTGGCATGCACACCAGTGAGTACATCAGCCAACTGGAAGTGGACTGCTCCCCTCTGAATCATACTGCCAGGTCAGGGGACATCTGCCAGAAGGGAGGATGCTGGCAGAGGCAGCAGGAAGAGAGAGGCTTCCCCACCAGCAGCCACCTTTTACAAGTTAAGTGTCCCAGAACCCACTGATTTCTCCTCCCTTGGAGGCACGGATGCACGGTAACACACAGTACTTGCTCCCTAGCCTCAGGTTCCGAGATAATCACCCAAGGCCAGCAGCATTGTTTTAGTTGCTCTGCATAAGCGGGTACCCACTCCCACATCTCTCCTTGATGTGGTATCTCCTTCCCACCCTCCAGGAAGCCCAAGAGGTTGATGGCGCAGGCCCTCAGTCAGGAACACATCTGAAGTGTCTCACAGAGTGAGAGCAGCAGCCCTTGCTCACCTTTCACTTTCATCTGCAGCCTTCTCTGCCTCTTCCAGCTTCTGCAGAGCTGTGGCAAGGCGCTCCTGGGCTCGGTCTAACTCCTCCTCTACCAGCTGGATACGGCGGTTCAAAGATGCCACTTCTGCCTCAGCCTAGAGGGAGCAGATGAGGGTGACTCAGTCTGGGGCAGGTTCAGCAGTTAGTGCAGGGCAGCTGAGGTCTGTCCCCAGGTCAGCGGTAGCACACAGGAAGCCAAAAGAAAGCCAGAGTGCTTTATCCACTTTCTTACAGAGGCTGTGCTCCCATGCACTTGCACTCACGTTAAGCTTCCCAACACTTCACACACACACATGCTTTGTCCGTGTGACAGTCATCCTGCAGGTTTCCCGCCTGTCAGCTTGAGCTGACGTGACAGTTTAAGCCATAAACACTAAGTAGATGACTTATGCTAATGGATCTTCTCTGCAGCTGCTGTAATCCTGCCAGGCCATCAATCACAGTCCTATTTATCCACTACACCAGCTACCATTTAGCACAAAGTCAGTTTACTCATGTGATCTAGACATGAGTGTTGCTTGAAACAAGCCCTCTCATCAGCAACGTGAGAAAGATTTCACAGCTTCAGGTTCTGAGGGCTGCCAAGCTGTGGCAGGGCGGTCAGGCTGGGCTTTCTACAGATCACCAGCGTGCCCACGACCCCGATGACTCCAGCCCCAGCCATGCTCCAGGCTTCCTTCCTCCCAGCGATTCACTGAGAACCCAAGGGAAGAGCAGAAGCCTCGTCCAGTCTTGAGACAGGCTGAGGAGTCTGTTCCCCAGCAACAGCCCCAGGCAGGCAGCCCCCTCGGTCCAGCCGTACGCGCCAGGAGCCGGTGACGTCGCTGAGAGCCCGCAGGAGCCACACGCTTGCCAGAAGCAGGACCACAAAAAGCCACCGAGGCTTTAATGAATCAGCAGAGACCAGAAGCCACCACACTCCTCAACAAGGCCCGTTATAGCACTGCTATCGACCGCAATGGAGGGGTCGGCTTACAGCCCAGCCTGCCTCAACCCTGACGAGAGTCTGGGAGGAAACCGAACCACTTTGGGGACACTAACACCCCACCCAAGTCACCCAGGGGAACCCCGAATCCTACTCTCCAGCAGGATAACCACGCAGGTACAAAGATGGACAGACCTGCAGCCATTTCAGGGCAGCACTGTGGCCTTCCCCAGAGACCCATGCACAGACACACTCTGGGCATATACGAAATATCCCAGCTACTTGTAACAAAGCAGGCTGCAAGTACCCACTGCTCCTAACCATGCCCAGGGAGGGAGCAACAAAACAATGAAAGAAGCCAGTGTTAGAGCAGGGCCCAGCAAATCACTTCCAGCTCCCAGGAGAAGCTGTCTGAGCTCTTCCTCCTGGTTGGCAGCAAGGCACTCAGCTCCCCAACCCCCTCACAAGGGGTGTTTCAAGACCAGGTTGTGAGAACAGAAATTGAAAAGGAGCTCCCATGGTGGCACACCCTGCTCTTCCGGGGAAACCCACAACACTGATGCTCAAACAAGGCAGCACTGCAACAGGCTGCCCCAGAGCCAGCCCCACCAGCACGTTCCTCTGGAGCAGGAGGAGGAAGTGGTCTGCCCAAAAGAGGAACAAAACGATACGTGAAACAGAACTGGAAAGGAGGCTTCTTGAAAATGCATGTCTTTTGCCTATTTGAAGGGGCAATGAGCTGTCAAGGTGGAGAACCTCCTCCTTCTCCCAGGGGATGGAGACACACCAGCACAGGAGGCCTCCATTTCCTGACCTTCTGAACCACATCATTTAGCATCGACTTCCTGCAGGCAGCACTTAATCCACCCAAAAAAACCCTCCCTTGCTTTTAAGGAACTGACTCGCTCTGCAGAAGGGTCCTTATACTCTTTCTGCTTCTCCTCACTGCATACCACTGAGGCTGTCAGACTTCCCTGCAGCACAGGGGTGATACTCCCAGGCAGCCCCGCTGCCAAGCCGCACATCCCCGTTACTCCGTGCTTCCTTCAGGAAGGCAGCCCTGAGTCAGGGAGCCATGAGGAGCCCTGAAAGCCAAGGGCAGAGCCAGCCTTGGCCTTTGAGGCCCACCAGCACTTCCTCAGGCCATGGAGATCTAACAGGGACATTCCTCAGGAGACAAGGGCCAGGCTACGGAATGAACATAAGACACCACTACACTGGGAGCACTGGTTCTCTGTCCTGTAAGCCACCGCTACGCTGGGAGCACTGGTGCTCTGCCCTGTAGCGAGACTCCAGCAAGCTGCGAGAAACACGCATGTTCCCATGACAACGCCGCTATTGCAAGAGAATTCCTTATGTGGCTGCGAAGAAAGAGCCCAGCTGAGGTCTGGGAGTGGCCTCGTCCCACTGCACGGCAGAAGCTTCTGCCGTCACCCTCAGCGGCAAAGCCGGATCTGTCCCGCAGCAGCAGCACCACGCTGCTCGCCGCCGGCGTCGGACTCGGGCGCTGAGGGTGGAAAAGCCTCAGCCTGACGGTTTGAACGGAATCAACCGCAAAAATCACTGCGCAAATTTGCGGAGAGTCACGCCCTGATCCGAGCCAGTCGCCCACGGGGACCTGCCCTGTGTCACCCCACACGCTGTCCCCACCTTTGCCCGGCTCAGCTGCGAGGGCAGGTGCTCGCCAGTTCGGATTCCTCCCTGGTTGCTCCTTCCTTCCCTCCAAACAACCCCAGCCCAGTCCCTGCCTGCCCCCAGCACGCTCTCACGCAGCTGCCGGTCCCGGGGGCAGCGGAGATCCCCGCTCGCCGGGATTTGGGCAGGATGTGGAGTTTGGGAGTTTTCCACCGGGTTCCTGCGCCGGCAGCATCACGAGTGAAATCACTTCCATTTTATCAGCACATGCCAAGGCTGCTCACACCTTTGTGCTCGCAATTCGGGGCCAGACAAGATGGCCGGGTTCCTCCCCTTCCTCTCCAACGGCTCGGGGCGAGCAGGCAGCCGGGGAACCCAACCGGGGACCGGGCGCCCTCCCCGGGGATCCCCACCAGCCTCGTGGCACAACACCCCC